CAGTCCCCTCTTAAGAGCTCCCAGTTTATCCTAGTTTATCCAAGAGCCTAAGGGCTCCCAGTTTATCCCAGTACTTCCCAGTCCCTTCCTAAGGGCTCCCAGTCCATCCCAGTGCACCCCAGTCCGCTCCTAACGCCGCTGCCCTCAGCGCTACGCAAACGGCGTAAGGGGCTCTGCCATTGCCCAGAGCCCTACGCAAACAGCGTAAGGGGGCGCCGGTAACGGCAAGGGAGGGGAGCTACATAAACTGCGTAAGGATACGCAAACGGCGTAAGCGCCCTGCCCTCAGCGCTACGCAAATGGCGGAAGGGCCCCGGTTCCTTCCTCAGGGCTCCCAGTTTATGCCAGTATCTCCCAGTCCGTTCCTAAGGGCTCCCAGTTCATCCCACCTGTCGCCGCGTTCTCGCGCTTCCAGAATTTTCTCCCTCCGCTTCCAAAATATAAAGAGATTTTCTGTGCTGAACACCGAGCCGGGAGCACTGACGGGCTCGGCGCAGGGGCCGTGTGGTATTTGGTTTCTCTACAGTTCGTGGTTTTATAATGAAGGGGGAAGGGAAGGAAGGGAGCTGCTCCTGCCAGCACGCCAATAATCTGCTGCAAAGGACTGGAGCTCTCAGAGCCAATAAGTCCACCAGTGAACCATTTAGCTGCTGAAATAAATCCAGTCCCAGGCACGGAATCAGCAGGATTCGAGACAGAAAAGCCTGGATGGGTACGCAGGGCATTGAGCTCGTGCAGATTTGTGCAAAGGTGCAACTCGCTACGTTTTAATACTGAGTGCTTCTGATACACAAACTGGCCCCCGAAACTCCCTTGGGTCACAACGTGCAAAGGTGGGACAGCTTTATCCAGAACAAATAGACAACACAATTTCTCAAAGCTGGATCAGAATCTGTGCCAGCCTGTGGTGGAACCATGAAAAGCCACCCACGGGAGTTGCATTTCCCATACGGATATCAGGTGGGGACAAGTCCCTGCCACAGGAATGGTAAATCCATGGTGGGGTGGGAAGGGCCAAGATGCTGCCCTGGCAGAGGAGGGTGGATGTGCCACTGCAACATCTCCCAGCAACGCTGCTGTGGGTGGAAAAACACCATTAAGGTGGGACAGACTCCAGGAAAGCAACGGCAGAGTCTGTCTCCCTCTAAATGTGATGTCTCCATCATCCAGACACAAAGCCATGCTTTGGACCTCCCTGCATCAGTCCTGTTTTTCCAGCTCCTTAACCGCATCAGAACAAGACCAAAAAAATTACTTCTTTTTATATTCTTGTAGGGGTCTGACCCTGGCCAGAGACCAGGTACCCACTAAAGCCGCTCTCTCACTCTCCCTCTGCAACTGGGCAGAGGAGAGAGAAAAAAAACCAGCTAAAAATTCATGAGTAGAGACAAGAGCTGGGAGAGGTCAGTGACTGATCACCTTCATGGGCAAAACAAGACTCAAAGAGGGGATAGTACTTATATTTATTACTAACAGGATAAGAGCCAAAGAGTGAGAAATAAAACAGTCTTAAAAACACCTTCCCCCCACCCCTCTTTTCATGTTCTCCCTCCTCCCCCCCAGCGGTGCAGGGGGATGGGAATGGGGGTCACAGTCAGTTGTTTCTGGCACTGCTCAGGGAGAGGGGTTGGAGTCCTTCCCCTGCTCCCGTGGGGTCCCTCCCACGGGAGACAGTCCTGGATGGACCTCACCAACGTGAGTCCATCCCTCGGGCAGCAGCTCTTCCCAACCTGCTGTCCCGTGAGTCACTCCTCCATGGGGTCAGTCCTTCACAGATGAGCTGTGCGGGCGTGGGTCCCCCACAGGGGCCACAAGTCCTACCTGGGAAAAACCTGCTCCAGCCTGAGCTTCCCTCTCCACGGGCTGCAGGTCCTTCCCAGAACCCTGCTCCATCCTGGGCCTCCCACAGGATCACAGCCTCCTTCCTGCATCCACCTGCTGCAGCGTGGGCTCCCCCATGGGCTGCAGGGGAGTCTCTGCTCCCCGATGCTCCCCCATGGGCTGCAGGGGCACAGCTGCCCCACCTGCTCTGCACCACGGGCTGCAGGGCCTCAGCTCTGGCGCCTGGAGCACCTCCTGCCCCTCCTCCTGCACTGCCCTTGGGTCTGCAGTGCTGATTCCATGTTCTCACTCCACTCTTCCCTGGCTGGAATTCCTTCTGTCCCACAACCTTCTGTTCCTAAATATGTTATCCTAGAGGCATTACTGTCACTCCTGACTGGCTCAGCCTTGGCCAGCAGCAGGAATTCCATTCTGGAGCCAGCTGGCATTGGCTCCATGGGACAGGGGAAGCTTCTGGCAGCTTCTAACAGAAGCCACCCCTGTAGTCCCCCCACTACCAAAACCCAGCCACAGAAACCCACTGCACCCAGTTACTTCCACTTGCCCCAGGATGGCTCCAGTTTCCATCAGTATGATCCCAGTCACTCCCAGTCACTCCCACTTTATGCCAGTTGCCTCCAGCATGCACCCTAACACCGCCGTTGCGAAGAAGAACTTCTACTGTATCCTTATCCTTAAGAACAGCAGCAACTTCCATGGGGGTCCTAGGGCATCCAGGAGATAAGAGTAAATACATCAGCTTCTGCAGGAGTTGCGTACCATTACTTTAATCCCTCTCTGCTTCTCAGACAATTCATTTCCCCTCTCCTACTGGCAGAATGAAAGCACAGCCGAACACCTGGAAGTGTTGGAGAATTCAGGTTGGTGGGACCTCAGGAGGGCTCCAGGCCAGCCAGCCACCCAGAGCAGGCTCAGGTTGCGTGTGTGTGCCTGCGCGCGCGCGTGTGCATGTGGGACCACAGACAATGCTTTCTTGCAGTCCTCAGTGTGGAAATCATCCCCTGAAGTAAGCAAGCAGCGGAGCGCAGGTCTGCTTTCACAAGTCACGCTGAAGGAGCACCTTCTGGGTGGTTCCTGGCCCTTTTTCAAAGCTCATTCTTATGCCTCCCATCAATCCAACTTGAACAACGCTAAGGAGTCCCACACATGCTTTTACCAAATCCTTCACCTTTTATGATTATCTGTAGCATTCACGTCAGCTCCTTTTTGAAGAAGGAACTCGATCATCCCTTTACAACGCTCAGTGATGGCAAGAGTAAGTGGAGTGTATCCCAGCTGAAAGGAAAAATCATCTCTCTTAGAATAACAGAGAGAAGTCAAGCAAGTTGACTTGGGAAGAGGAGCTTTCCCTAAAGTCCAAGCTTACTTCATTCTTAGCATCAATATCTGCCCCATGCTCAAGTAACAGCTCCACTAGAGATTTGCTAGACACCAGGACAGCAAAGTGAAGGGCGGTGTTACCAGTAGCAGCTCTGTGGTCATGGTTGGCACCATGCTCCAGCAGAATAGCCACACAATCTCTGTGCTGGTGCTGTACTGCCTGGAAACAAGACACAAAGGAGGAATAACTTCCAACGTGTACATTTTTCTCTGTCAGAACTCCTGCATCTTCCCAACACTGGGAAGTGTGAGCATCTTCAATGATAAGACAACATATGCCCCTTTCATATACCTGTATCAGTGGTGATTTCTTATATTTGTCGGGAGGATTTAGCTTGCAATTCTTGCCTACTAGAAGGCAGGTTTACCCAGGCCATCTCTCGGGGCTCGACGGCCTCGGCCTGGCTTCAGCAGACACAGGAGGTGCTCGGCGGACTCTGCCGAGTCCCTGGCGGGGAGGGGGAGCGGGTGTGAGGAGAGGATGGGCAGATCCGAGAGGCGAGATCCGAGTGGCAGCTGCGCTTCGCAGCCCCCGACGGTCCAAGCCAGAGAAGCGCTGCTGATCCCGTCGCGCCGGAGTCAGCAATGACGGCCAGGAAGGGTCTGGCGACGGGACAGCAGCCGTGGAGCGCGCCGAGACATCACAGAGGGGCTTTGTGACACGGTGCCACGGGAAAGGCCCGGTGTGCGTCCAGAGTCGCCGCCGCACGTGAGCCCACGCGGGTCGCCGCGCCTGGGCGGGCGCGGGGCGCTGCACACACCTGCGTGCGGCGCCTCATCCAGCTGTGGCACGTGCCCAGCCCCACTTCGCTCCCCAGCCCGACCGACCAAGCCCTTAGAGCCAATCCTTATTCCAAAGTTACGGATCCGGCTTGCCGACTTCCCTTACCTATATTGGTCCAACATGCCAGAGGTTGTTCACCTTGGAGACCTGCTGCTGATATGGGTATGGCCCGGCACGAGACTTACTCCCTCTCCCCCGGATTTTCATGGGCCATCATGAGCTCACCGGATGCCGCTGGAACCGCAACACTTTCCAAGGTGCAGGCCCCTCTTTCAGGGCGAACCCATTCCAGGGCGCCCGGCCCTTCACAAAGAAAAGAGAACTCTCTCCGGGGTTCCCACCGGCTTCTCCGGGATCGATTGCGTCACTGCACTGGGTGCCTCACGGTGCCTGTCTCCGCCACTCCGCATTCGGGGATCTGAACCCGACTCCCTTTCGATCGACTGAGGGCAACGGAGGCCATCGCCCGCCCTTTCGGAATGGCGCTCGCCTATCGCTTAGGACCGACTGACCGAAGTTAGGAAGGGGGGAAAAACCAGCGCACAACAGCAACTGCAGACGGAGAGAGAAGCGAGAATATGGGACAGAAACAGCCCTGAAAACCCCAAGGTCGGTGAAGAAGGAGAGGAAGGAGGTGCTTAGGCAACGGAGCAGAGGTTCCCCTACAGCCCGTGGTGCAGATCATGGTGAGACAGCTGTGCCCCTGCAGCCCAGGGAAGCTCATGGTGGAGGAGAGGTCCACCTGCAGCCCCTGGAGGACCCCACGCTGGAGCAGATGGATGCCTGAAAGCAGGCTGTGACCTCGTGGGAGGCTTGTGCTGCAGTAGGCTCCTAGCAGGAGCCTGGAGCAGATTTGCCAGCAGGACTTGTGGCCCCGGTAGGGACCCAGGCTGGAGCTGCAGCCCGTGGGAGGGACTCAGGTTGGAGAAGTTCATGGAGGACTGTCTCCCGTGGGAGGGACCCCACACTGGAGCAGGGGAAGAGCCTGTAGTATCAAAATCACAACGTATGAGTCATCTTGAAATTTCCTCTTTCTGAGAAAGTCTGAAGCACATGCTACAATAATCAAGAATGCCCAGCTGAAACAAATAAATAACAGAACTGATGTACAGCTGGTTCCCAGGAGACTGCGTTTTACCCTGGTGTGGACAGTGTTTTGGAGATAATCTGTTCCTGTTTCCTCTAAGGCAGGGGCAGGCTTTGAATAGGAGGCAGGCTGGAAGTCTCCCATGGTTTACCATATCCTAATCCCAGCAATCACTAGTAATTCAGTGTATTTCTAACCTCTTCAATCCACTGCTTATTTTATGTTTAATGACTACCTTTGAACAGCAGAGTTGGACTCTTTAAGTTCCTTTTAAATAAATCAATAAAGGAGATAAAATTCCTATTGGTTTGGGCAGTCTTTAAAAGACGTAATTTAGAAAATGAGTTTTCAATGGTTCCATTCAAGCAATTGGCAAGAGCTCAAAAAAATAAGCTCAGCTTCAGTTGAGGCTATAAATGCTTTTGTAGAAACACTACACAGATTTTCAAGGGAATTCAGCACCCCAAATTCCCAGCCTTTCTGAAAATCTGCCTACTTTCTTGACACTAAAATACCTGCTGAGCACTTCAGAGGCACAAATTCTGAGTCACCTACAAGGAGCAAGAGGGGGCTGTTCACCACATATGCATAGCCAAAGAGGAAACAAACAATTGCCTGAAGAAGAAGCCGTTTTAAGGAATGATTTTGCATTGCCTCCTTCTATTTATTTAGGAAAAAAGGTGGAAGGCAGGTGGAAGAAAACTGCAAGGGAAGAAAATAACTCTTCAGGGAAATGCTAATACGTAACATGTGCATTGATTTTTTTTTTCCACCTAAAAGGCTGTTGTGTAGACTATAATAATATAAATTAAAGATTTAGTGTCTTGATTAGTTTAATGCCTAAGTGCTAAATCCCATTAGTTTGCTTTTTTGTAAGTTTACACTGCCAACCCTTTCCACGCTTGATTTTCAAATGATATGGTAAAAGTCTATCACAGCCAAATGCAAGGATCCCCACTGAGAGGGGTGGAGGAGTCAGGCCACAGGTTTTTTATGAAATAATTCCCTGATAACTCACCATCAAGGAACAATTAACATTCACAAATAATGAGGAGCCAGATTTTTACTCCCTAGATAAAAGTCAGAGCCTGCTAAAACTGGGAAGTATTCTTTTGTGCCTCCAAAGAAGGCATGGGCTTTGGATGCCAGCTTCCCAAAAACTTGTAAAAGAGACAAGACCATAGTGTCTTTTCCTTCCATGCATTAATCCTTCACCAGTTGTACCAGTAGAAGTTGTTCTAGTTGGTGTGAAAGAACCACTTGTAGGGATTGTTAGCAGCAAGCAGAATGGAGAAACACACCCTACTGCAATGGCTGTCACTTCTGTGTCCCGCAGAGACACCCTGCCTGAGCTGAAGTGTCACCCAAATATAGTCACGTTTCACTGAACACCCTAATTAGTGCTACTCTAATTATCCAGCTTGTAGGCAATTCCATTCAGTCTAGCATTTCGTTCACACAGCCAAGTCTAAAGCACATCTCTGCAAATGCTGTGTTCGGTGCTATCCCAGCACGTCATCCAGCCAGCATTCAGAATTAAGCCTGCTCGTCGTAATAACAGGTGAAAAGCCCAATTACTCTTAATGCCTCCTGATGATTTCTGTGGGTCACATTGTGGTTCCCTACTGCAATTAATGGGCTGGTTGCAGGGAGATTGACACCTGAAACGGCACAAGGCATTCCACCTGATGGTTAGCACACTGTTCATTGCCATGACTTAAAAGCATTTAGATACGCAAGTAACAAGATATTGCTATCAAAACCCCAGCACAGTCAGTGGTTATTGTGTAAGAACATCTGAGCTTTTCTGTTTAGCATGTGGCAAAAAAAAAATCTGCTCACACAATCCTACTATATATAATGTTCCCTGATTCTAACTGTTCATCCCATCACCAGTGTTTGCCAGTGTTCACTGGTGTAGCTGGAAGAAAGCAGGAGGATTTTCTATGACGGGAGCTCCCAGTTGTCACCTGAGTCTTCTATTGATTATCATTAGATTTTATCCTGCTGGTTGAACACATTATCCGGAATTACTCTACACTTCTAATCAGAGAATTTGTTCATTATTCTCAGAGCATCAGAAGTAACCAATCCTAGGAATTTTTGCCCTTTTATCCCTTATAATCCTTCTTCACCTCATTCCAGAAATATCTTTCCTTCTGAAATTTGCACTAAACCCTTAAAGTTCTCCTGGGATCATCCACAGAGTACCAAGCTAGTAAGGGCAGCACAGTCAGCCCTGATATTTTTCTTTACTGTAGAAAAAAAAAGATGACTGCTTAGTTTCTTTTGTAACTTGCATACCGGTCGAGTATCTGTTCTTGTGTCTTAGTCCTTGAGTGATTTTATCTGCCTTCTTTATTCATGTTCTGTCCCATGCTTTTGAATTATCTGACAAGAATAACTGTGCAGGCTGGGGTCGCTCCATTCTGGGCCTCTCTGGGATGCACAAGGATTGGGAGATGCTTGCTCTCAGGACATTGCCTGTTGCATATTCCTTCATGCAACTCCTTAGCTGCTAGCTACATCTTGTCTCTTCTAACGACTTCTATCTGCAAGGGAACTTCGATCACTAATGTTGTTGGTGGGATAAATACTGCTATTGCCTTTTAGCCAGCAACGGTCTGAAGAAGAAAAGCTCCCAGAGGTTTGTAGAGACGGAGGTTACAGACCTCCTCAGGGTCAGCTCACAGTCTCATAGCGCTTCTCTTGCACAAGAAAAAAAACATTTGGAAGAGGAAGTGTCACCACCATAGGACACTTCTGATTTGGGTCCTATCTGCCTCTAGACAAGCCTTTGTCTTTTTCTAAACTCCCTTGAAGAAAACACTCAAGTAAAGTTAGGATACAAAGTTATTTAGGTAAAACTGGCAGTACTGAGCTGCTGTAGGAGGCCAGAGGAACAGTTGACTGGCTCAAAATAACCAGGTGGGAAAGTGGTGGTGGGGGGGAACAGGGTGAGCTCTGCGTAGGTGGGGCAGTGCACTGCGCCCCCCAGCCCTTGAGCCTTCCTGCACTGTGCTGCATAGTGCAGGTACATTTGAAAAGTCAGCCCACGGTCGGTGGTAATGGGCCAGTCGATCACCTGGGACTGCTGCAAGGTCCAGAATGGTTCCAGGAACATTCTGGCTCTGTGTAAAGTGCAGGTGTGTAATTTTGGGGTTGGAATTAGCATGGGCTTGCCTGGGGAGGGCCTCGTGCCACCAGAACGAATAAAAGGATGGTAACATGTGTGTGCTACGTGGAGCACTCTGTTACACTGGATTTAAAAGCTGCTGAGACCATACTGGATCCTACAGTGGTGACTATCTCTCTCTCTCCCTCCTTTTTCTTTCTCTTTCCTCTCCTACCTTCTTCTTCTCCAAATATATTGTAAGCCGGGCCAAAAAATCCAGTCAGTGTCTTGCTGAGTATCTTGTTCTGTCTGTATGTTTTGAAGTTGGCTAAGTGAAATTTTGCCGAGTGCCATATTCTATCTGGATGTCCTAAAGTTTGCAGGTAAAAAGTTGTTTGTTATTGAACCTCCTGAGACTTTTGTTATTTCTCCCATATACTGCCCAGAGAAAATCAAACTACCTTCCCTTAAACCTGCCAAGCGGGCCAGGGCATTACAGCTGCTGAGTTCTTAGACGTGAAATACTTCTAGGCTTTTCCCCATCCCGTATTTCCTCTTGAACTAGAGGTATATACATGAAAGATGTTTGAATTCCTACAATAAATGTCCACGAAAACACACAGAAGCATGAATTTCAACATTTAGCTACCCCAACTGAAGACTCCTACAGACTGTGGGTTATTCATCCCCAAGACTGCACCCTCCCATGCAGATTTATCTGAAGAACAGAACTCATCATAAGCCTAAGTCTTTCTTCTCCTTTCCCCTGCAATTCCCTCACCCAAAATCATTAAACAAAAGCTAGGAGAAAAAGACTGTTTGCTCCTACTGCTTCATTAAATCCCTTTGACTGTGGTACCCGTCATACTGCTATAACTCAGCAGCATTTTCCAGAGGATTAAGTGTGATATTGTCAGCTAAGGCTGACTTTTGAATTGTAGTCCTACCTTTGTTAGCGACTTCTTGTGCAGCCCTTACAACTTGCTTGTGACTGGACCTTTATGCTTTGCTTATCAAATTGGAGCATCTTGAACGCAGTGAGCTGTGAAGGCTCAGCCTCTGTTCATGGATCAGGAGCCTCAGTGTGTGAGGTGGGGTGCAAATGAGGACATGTAAGGCTGGCTTCCTTCAGCCTCTTATCTCTCATTGAAATCCAGCTGCAGTGTGACAAAAGAACAGGTGTGAGCTTGTTACTTTGGAGATACTGACTTGGCAGCTGGGCTTGAATAATGTTGTCACCCCAAGGTGGCCTCTGGAGAGC